TACTTGAGCTCTCAAGTTTCTGATATGTTTTGAAACTCCTACTGCCTTCTCTTTTTATAGGACAATTTGTGAGGAAGCTGACAATATATATATATATATATTAATCAAATCTGCGCATGGTGCTACCAGATCTGAAAAATCTTCAGAAATAAAAAAACCTTATCCATCCAACCCATGAGCAAGCCATACTTTTCCTATTATGGCCCACGTTTAGCCAGCTTACATATGTCATGTGCATTAGGTACGCTTTGAATTCTATCCAGACATGGCTTAAATGAATAGGAAACTTTTAGTGCCAAGCCTTAGAGGCTTCTGCCCACTAAATGCCAACAACAATATAGGCCTTAAACTATCCCGAGCCGGTCGTGGGTGGGGGTTAAGTCCCACTCTGGATTATTGGGGGTTCTAAATTCGAGTTTGACCTAAAAATGAGAGTCAACATTTAATACTGTTCATACCCATGTTTGGTATACGTAAGGATATATGATTATTATGATAATATATTTGTATATAAATGATTATTGTGGCTCTTAACCGATTTGTATATATGGAGTATATAAGATATATGAAGGTATAAATGTTATTTGCAAGCTAAAACTATTAACCCACCTCTCCCTGGGTTTCATGAAACCCAAGTATGCAGGTTTTATGATCGGGTCGGGTTTCAAACCCTGAAGTAAATGCATAGTTGTTAAACATGGGTTTAAGGGAGTTTAATCCCCAACCTAGGATCAAAAACTCTCCCAAACCCACGTACCAAACATGGCCTTGGTCCTTTGAGTTCAAGAATTTTAGCCTGAGTCCTGACAAATGAAAATGTCTTATTTTATCGTTTTTATTGAAAAATATAACTAAACATTATAATTAGAATGTTCCTATGAAAATAATTTTTTAGCTCCATCCTCGATACGAGGTTTGGGATTTAAAGTTCCCCATTGATTAACTGCATTGCACTCCCTTACCCTTAGATTAGTTTGCATAAAATTACAGCTTCTCAAAATAAAATAAAAAAAAACCTCTAATGGTTTGATTTGTGAAAAATCAAATTTTCAAAACTTTCGTGAAAAATTTAGAACCGATTTACTAAATAATCTTTTGTTAATTAGCTCAATTCTTTTCAACAAAATGTAAGAAAATAAAGTATGCAACACCTTACCTCACTTGCATGGAGAGAAAATGTTTCCGTGACTTGAACCACGACTTCAAAACATAAAAACATCTCGGACATGAAAAATATTCAACTGTCTACTATAAATAGCATGTTGGGTCTGAATTTTTTTTTTGGCGTATTGCATTCAGATTCCTTTAGATTTTTTACTTAATCACTTAAATTTTTTGATATTTAAAATATTACATACAGACCCGCTAAAATTTGTACATGTGTTATACTCTCTTCATTCCTAAATATCTGTCGTTTTACATAAATTTTTTTGGTTCATAATATATGTCGTTTTATGAAACCAAAGTATAATAAATATTTTTTTTTCTAAATTTACCCTTATCTCTGTTTTTTAATAAGTGTTTAATAGATTAAGTGTAATTTAAGTGTCTTTCATATTCCGTTCTTTCTCAATACATATTGAATAATGATATTTTAGTCTTGTGTAATTATTTTTTACTCATATTAGAACTATTTAATAGTTTTTTTAATCCTTATGTAAAAACCTTAAACGACATATATTTAAGAACGGAGGGAATATTTAAATCCCTACCATCAATGTCTGTTAGTAAATTATACCCAAACTCCTTGAACTTTATAGGTGTGTAGTACTTACACCTCTAAAGTTTAAAATATTACACTTAAACTCCTTATTAGTTACAAAATTAACAGAATTTATTAAAAGATAAAAGATATTGTGTCTATTACAGTTTAACCTCTTGTATGTTTTTTTTTAATTTTATTCCAATAGATAATATAATTGTATACTAATTATGATTGTTTAAAGAAAAAATTAGATTTTTTATTTTTGATTTTATTTCAATAAATGATATAATAGAACAAAAATTTTAGTTGTAAAATTTAAAATATTTAATATTCTTTCTTTGATTAAAATATTTTTTGTCTAAGTATAATATTTTAAACTTGTGGGGTCTATATATTACAAGTTTACAAAATTTATAGTGTTTAGGTATAATTTACTAACTGATATACTAACGGATATCAACGATAATATTTTAAATGTTAAGAGATATAAGTAATTAAGTGACAAACTTCAATTGATCTAAGTGTAATTCTCCTTTTTTGTTTTTTTTTTTTTTTTTATTTACTTTCATTTTTCCGTATGTCACATGATTTTGTTAAGCAACCCTATATTAATGCCGATCTGTAAATAGTAAAGAGGCAACGTCAAGGCTGTACCCAATTTGAAGCTTAAATAGCCTTATTTAGTACACTGCACCTAAAAACTGCAGGATCTGTCCCACCTTCCCTCCCATCATTTAATGTGGTGGATGGGAGCTAATGGCAGCAGTATTGAATATGGTGGACCAAGATCCACGGGGCTTTTTATAAGAGAATCTCATGGTGTCGAAAAAAAAAGAATCAATACCTGATCAGCTGTCTGATTTTGCTGATTAGCTCTCAGGTCTAAGTGATGTTGGGTTTGTATTACTTAATGCTAGTAATCCTGGGTATTTATTATTGGGAATATCTAAATGGACCCCACTTATGAACAATTAATTTTGATATAACTTTAGAACCTTTTTTAAGTGCTATAAGAACATTATTTATTACATAAACGTGATCAATTTTATCATATCAGTTTCATAATATAGTTTATCAGACGTTAAAATGTTTGGAACAAATAAACCTTAACGAATGATCATTGTTCGAGAATCTTTTACAATAGATTTGATTTATGTGAAAAGCAAAGTTGCATTGTTGAATAGCATTTTTGTTTCGTAGAAACCACTCATGACAGTGTTGAAGCAAATCGTTAACAAAGATTCACATGACTAGCAATCAAATTGGCCAATACCATCCATTCACTCACTTTGTCCATTGTCATCTATAATCATTTGTTGTGGTTAAAAAAAAACATTGAGCTGCCTGATTTCCTTTTTTTTTATTTTCTTTTGTTGACAAGAAACAAACTTTTATCTGGGATAAATAAAGGGTACAAGTAAAGAAATCTACCCCTCACAAGACATCTTACCAAAGACCTAAACTCATCAAAATTTTTTTCAACAATTTTTTTTTTTTTTAAAGGGTCAGAGGTGTTCGGATCAATTGACACACATCTCAATTAATTTTTTCTTTTGTCCGGTTAAAGACAGGTCATATGTCGAAACTAAAAATTCATAAAGAATAAATACATCATAGTCCTTTTGAATTTTCAACCCAACACCACGACGGTCCACACAATGGCCTCGAATTTGTTATTATACAAGAAAGAGGAATATCATTAAACTCCTCAGTCATAGAAAACCACAAAGAAGATAAAGAAACAAAAACTTGATCCAACAAACAAGTTTACTTCTGACTTCAAAAAATCTAGCGTTTCTCTTCAACCAAATAATAAACAAAATAGCTGTCTGATATTATTTTACCAAGGAGTGCTCGATCTTATCAATGTGTTTCAAGATCCCAACCCTCTGAGCCAGTGCTCTTCCAGACAGTCTCAGCTAAATGGGTCTCCCTTAAAGAACCAATCAATCGGTGCTTTAATCTCCCCACCCTCACGTTTTCATCACACAATAAGTGACTGTGCTACCACTTCCTTCAATGCAAACCACCAACCAGAATTAAAGATGGTTTATATGGACCCATGAGTTCATAATTCACTTGCCCAATGGCTGGCCCATAGATTCCAATGGCAGAAAGATTCTGCCACAGAAATTGAAGGCCAAAACTCCAACAAACATATTAAATGGCAAAGCTACAGAGAGATAGCATTTGCAATTCCAGATATCAACTTCGAATTCGACACAAAATTGATACGGAATTATTGAGTGTGGGTTTAACCTTCAGCGAGGTTTGGTTATAAACAAATGGACCAGCCAACTCCGCTTTGTAAATTTACACTAGTTTTCTCAAACTCGGTACGAATCTAACTAAACATGATGAAAAACAACGATGCTAAGTATGAATTGCATGGATTTTGGTACGACATGAATCGGACACATTAAAAGCCGTACACTGAGGTGACAACAAAGATGGTCAAAGAGTAAAGCATAATGTGATGAAACTAGAGCTATTATAATCAGAAAAGCTCCACTCAACTAAATGCAAACCTCCAAAGTCCAAACCACTCGCCGACAGAGACTAATATTGTTTTAAGAAATCAAAATAGTTGACTTATAGCTTGCAATATGGCCCTCGAGAAAATGATAGAACATAAAGATCATAGGAAATTAAAATCTCTCTTTTTTTTTTGTTTAAATGGTCAAGACATGCCTCGACTAATTCCCTCTTTGGTCTAATCAAACTATCCACGTCAAGACTAACATATCCATGTACGATAAATCTCTCGTGACTTGACTCTAAGAAATTATTAAGATTTAAATTCATAACGTCTGAATTTACGGTTCGTTTCTGTTATCACTTGCACTACCTCCAAGGTTTATGTGAAAAGTCTTCAAGGGTTTGACAAATGGGTAATATCTCAAGAGCACATATAGTTTTGTCATCTGTGATCATTATCAACAGATAAGATGCATTCATTATATGCAGAAAGGCTAATCAGGCAGCCGAATAGTCGGCAGCAAACAACAGAAGCTTACAGAAGCAAATGCCATCTCTGCAGTTTTCTAAAGCTCTGGACTTACCCTCTTCTTAATCACTAGAGTATATGTTTGATGAAATCTGTCAATCTCCCACCCTTGTGTGAAACTAGTTTGACATAATCAATTACTAAATAAACACCTAGTTCTGATCCTAGCAGATTCCAAAACTTTGGTAGGAATCTGATGATGCTTCCCTGGAAACCACAATAACAGATACTACGGAATCTATTAGGTACATAATGGTTAATCAGATGATGCTCTCATGAAACAAATAATCGGGCTTAGTTAGAGTAACAACAATCAAGTACGGGTCCATCAATCGCGACTCATTCCCTCCACAGGGTAATTACAAAAGCATCATGACATCTTTCGACACTAAATGGGAGGGAACAGCAATTGATATGAAAAAAGTTGAAAGCAGAACCAACAAACAATATGTAACCCAAAATTTTTGTACAGAAACGTGATCAAGTACAGTGACCTAAATTATGATACAAGAACTAACTACATTAGGATGACTGTAAAAATGGCAAACAGAGGGTTTAAATGAACAAATAGAAAAACCCTAAAGGGATATATGAAGAAATTAACAAAAGAAAACTCTTCTCATCCTGTGATTTACATAAAACAAAGCCTTACAGATCCCTTCGGCATAACGGACAAGAGCCATGCCTCACCAGCCACATGTCAATGCAAGGTAGGTGAAACATGTGATGGCAATGGGGCAAACTTCTAACAGTCTCTCCAAGCTGGAAGTCCTGAGGATACATAATAACAAACACCATTTACATGAGCTTATTCACAATCAATTCAAGTCAAATCTGTCTAAGCACAGTCAAGTGAATGAGATGAAAACAAAAAATCTGCAAGTACCTGAAGGCACACTGAACAAGAGACTCTCTCCCCAGAAGTATCCACATTGTTATTCTCTGTAACTACAATCTTTGGGATCTTCTCAACTGAATCTCCAGGGAGACCTTTCGCCCCTCCAATGTCGAAAATGTTGGGGATCTCCTCGAAACTTGTTTCAACAGCTCCCATCTGATTAATAAACATAATCTATAAGCAAATGAAAGAAAGATTTGACCTTGTTTATCAAAACATAAGGCAATTTGGTTGCAAATTACCTGACTTTGCACTGCACTTAGCATGGCCGGACCAATCCGTTCACGAACAAGTCTACCACTTAAAAGGCTTACAATGACATCAATCTGCAATAGATAGGTTTCATATAATTAAAATTAAGCTACATTTGAATCGCCAAGCTAAGAATTTAGGGTCAAAGCAAAACAATGGTTTGTGTATCACCACTGTCCATGCTTCAGAATTAATACACTAATCTACCGAGACATAAGCATATAGTCAAGAGGGGTGAAAAGTGAAATCGCTAACCAAGTAGAGGAGACACCCGATTCCGGATTCATCTGTTTGCCATAAGAGTAGCGAAGATTCGAAAACCTCGATGGAGAAAACAGCTCCTGAGATGGCGCCAACTGCAGCCCCTCTAACAAACCCGCTTTCAGTCTCTTGGCCTATTAATGCACCAGTCATGGCTCCTAGTAAGGTACCCACTGCAAGTTAACAAGACCAATCGCTTCATGAGTTCAATTACAACCATAAATTCCAAAGAAAATGCAGCCACTCAAGCTGCAATCAAACAAGATTTTCTGTGATTATATGTCTATTTGAACAATGTAACGAATATATATAAACAAAATCTTTTGTTCATGAACAACTCGGTTTAATCATAACTCAAAATTCAACAAAACAGTGGTTTACATCTCTGAATCTCAAAAGTTCAATTTTTTTCATTCTAATTTCTGCATTATTAAAAAAAAAAATGAAAGCAGTGCCCTAATTGGACAACACCTATGAACGCAGAGCCCTAATATGAAAAATAAACACATCTATATTCAACAAAAGTTGATGATTGTAGAAAAGCACAAAAAACAAATTCCAATTTACATCAAACCCACGTCACAAAAACATACACAGATCGAAAATCAATGGCAACTTATCAAATAAAGCGACAAATATGGATGAAAAACAACAAGGGGGTAATACAGGGAAAGAGAAGGATACGAACAAGAAATTGAACGAATCAAGAATGAAAATACACACCTAAGGCGAAGAAGAATGTGAAGATCGCAGAGAACACATTCCCAATAATCGCAGAAACCGCATATCTGAAAAACTCTTTAACCTTATCAACCAAAACCCCAAATGAAAATGAAGATGTAGATGACGATGAAGGCAAAGCACGAGATGGGTATGCATAGAACTCCATTGTTAAGCCTTTCCAATTGAAAATCTCCCCAAAATAGTTGTTTTCCGATCTAAATATTGGTTGGTTAGTTCAAGCCTTCAAGGACAAACCCATATAAACCATCTATAGATACACGCGTGTGTATAATGTTAGATATATAAAGCGAGGAGGTAGGAGCTATGTGTATGCCTTAGTCGTTAAGAGAAGGTGAAAAGAAACCACATAAACCAACTAGCATTTATAGCTCTCTCTCTCTCTCTCTCTCTCTCTCTCTCTCTCTCTCTCTCTCTCTCCTAGATCAAAGAAAATTCAAGCCTTGTAATTAATTTTTTCCAGGAAAATTTGAACAAATATAAGCGTGTTGTTTGATGGTTTAACTCGTCCACAAGAGTTCACATGACAAATATTCAACTTTCTACCACTTGCTCTGTCTCTAGAAAATTTGGGTCTTGGACTTCTGGCGGACAGATATTTTGTCCTTGGGTAGGGGTCCATGATGAGTGATAAAACAGTTGTACGAACTAGGACTCCTCTTCCTTACTCATAGCCTAGTGGGTTGGGATCAAAGTGTGTAACTCATCCATGCCCTACTCTGACATCTCGTTTGGATTAAACCTCCTATTCAATGTTCAGAATATACGGTAAAACTTTAATCTCAGTCTCAGCATCTGTACAAGATAATCTTTTGTAGATAAATTAATTATTATTTATGTCTGAAGGTATTGAATAATAAAAAATAAAAAATATATTTATATTTATATTCAAAATTAAATCACAAATACAGAGAAGAGATAAAAAAATTTAAACATCAATTTATAGTAGAGATGAGAGATGGTGGACGATAATGATAGTGGTAGGAGACAATGATAGTTTTAATGACAACAACGATGGTGACGGCAACGATGGTGGTGGTGGGGCGTGGTGATGGTGGAGGCGGTGGTGGTAGTGGTGGGGGTGGCGATGGTGACAGTGGTGAGGGTGGCGATAATGACAGTGGTGGTGGGGGGTGGTGATGAAGGTGGTGGTGGTGGTGGCGACAGTGTTGGTGGCGGCAAAGACAGTGGGCGATGGTGGTGGCGTTGGCGGCGACGGCGGTGATGGTGATGGTGGTGGTGATAAACTTAGTAGTAGGACGATTTCAAATACTATTTATTTTTAAAATATTTATAACAAATAATTTCTAAAAGTACTATTAAAAAGTCACTTCAAACACACCCTTAGGGACCCCTATTTTTCATATTAAATTTAGGATGTTAATATTAGCCGTTAAATTAATTTTAAAATAAAATTTAAAGCGATTTCAACCACGATAGCAAAAGTCATTTTGTTTATCCTTTTGAGATTTGAATTGTAAGCTACTTTATTATATAGATAGTTATTGTCTGTACCTGAAGGCACAAACTAATTAAAAATGATAAACAATAAATATATTTGTATTCATATTTAAAGTCAAATCACAAACATAGAGAAGAGATAAAAGAATTTAAGCATCGATTTGTAGTGGGAGTGAGAGGTGGTGGACGGTAGTGATGGTGGTAGGAGACGGTGATGGTTGTGGTGGGTGACAATGACTGTGGTAGCGGTAGTGGTGGGTAACGACAATAGTGGTGGCGGTGGCGGTGGCAGTGGTAGTGATAGTGGTGGTGGTACTGGTAGCGGTGACGATGGTGGTGACAACGACAGCGGGGGTGGTGGTGGTCGGGGGCGCTCATAGTGGCAGCGACAGTGGTAGTGGTGATGGTGGTGGCAGCGGTAGTGGTGATGACGGCGGCAATGACTGTGACGGCGGCGATGGTGGTAGTAGAGATAGTGGTAAGACAATTTCAAACACTATTTTTTTAAAAGTATTTATGAGAAATAATTTTTAAGAATATTTTTAAAAATCACTCAAAATATACCTTTAGGGTCTATTTTTCCTATTAAATTTAGGGTGTTAATATTAGCCGTTAGATTAACTTTAAAATAAAATTTAAAACAAAAGTCATTTTGTTTATATTTTAAAATTTGAATTGTAAGCTACTTTATTATATAGATATGCAGTACCGAAAGGCAATATTCCTGAATATACGAAATAATTTATATGTATATTCATTTTAGGAATTAAGACAATCAAATGGGCATTTTTTTTTCTTTCTTTTAGGTTGTTGAAATAGATATGTTTGAATTTATTTTCATATCTTTTTTAATCCATATTCCATTCTTTTTGTAATTGATTTTTTATCGGAAAAAAAATGGTCATTGAAAAATGACCCTTTTTGGCTATGGAAAGAACTTGTGGTTCGGATATTGTTATTCTCACAAAAAATAATTTTAGAAAAAAAATCAAATGATGTGATCTATACATATAAGCAAAATTTTAATTCTACATATATAAAAATATGACAAAAAGAACGATAATATTAATGTCGATCTTATTTTTTTGGTCAATCTAGTATTATTCTTTATAACACTTTATTAATTTAACTTATAAAATATTAAAGATTAATCACATATGATGAAGGCACCTCTATCTATATTTTTGTATTTCCCAAAGCTTTGTGGATTTCCAATCATTTTTTGTCTTCTTGTTGGTCTTCCTCCTCCATCTATATCTGCCGTGAGTGGATTTGAACAGAGTACGTGTCTGATCAAGTAATAAAAGTGTTACAAAATTTAGGGTAAATTCTTATTGATTGTATCGCAAAATTTAGGGTAAGCCATTGATAAAATAATTCTCCCACAAAAAAAAAAAAAACAAATGTTTTCTTTGTTAATAAAAAAACAAATCTTGTTGTGAATAATCCAAAATTGAGAATTCTCCATATGCAAAATCAAAATTACGGATATCGCATTGCAAAATTTAAGATAAAGTATTGATAAAATATCTCTCCCCCAAAAAGTATATTTTATTTGCTAATAGAAAACATATTTTGTTGCGAATAATCAAATGTCAAGAAAATTTTCATACATAGAATCAAAATTATTGACATCGTTTTTGCTTTGTTTACAAAAAATAAAAAAATAAAAAACCCCTTTAAACAATGTATTAACTTCTCTTCAGCATTAGTACATTGTCTAGAATATACAGTGAAATTTTAATTTTAATCTCGTCATCTGTGCAGTAAAATCTCTCACAATAGTTGTGTAATACTAATTAACAATACTCTTGAATATATAAAGTGACATATTTACATATTTATTTTACAAATCAAGAGACCGAATGTGTATGTTTTTTTATTTTCCTTTATTTTTGATTGTTGCAATGGGTCAATTTTGAGAAAGTGAATCGTCTCTATCACACTTCAATGTCCTAACTCTCCCATGTTAAAAAAGTCTTTCCCTTAGTTTGAAGTTTTTTTCTTAAGGTCCGTCCGTACAGTTCAAGAATGTTAATGTGAAAACCAAACTAACAGAACAACATACATACGCCAATATATTTGAATTTACTTTCATTTGTTTTTTGGTACATTTTTCATTCTTATTATAATTGAATTTTTATTGGGATAAAAGTGGTAATTGAAAAATTACCCTTTTCTGCTATGGGAAGAACTTATGATTCGTATATTGTTATCCAGACAAAAAATAAATTTTTAAAAAAAAAATCAAATGATATGATCTGAACATATAAGCAAAGTTGTAATTCTATACGTATGAAAATATGAAAAAAAGAATAATTATATTCATGACACAATTTTTGATTTTACTCTTTGATCAGACTAATATTATTCTTTGTAACCCTTTAGTTTAATTTATAAAATACTAAAATTTAGTCATATACGACATATTTTTGTAATTTACAAAGCCTTGTGGATTTTCAATCATTTTTTGTCCTCTTGTTGGTCTTCATCTATATCTACCCTGAGTGGATTGGAAGAGATGACGTGTCAGATCAAGTGGAATCAGTCTAAGATGGTGTACCAAGTAAAAGTATTATAAAATTTCGGATAAATTCTTTTAATTGTATTGCAAACTTTAGTATAAGTCATTAATAAAATATTTCTCCCACAAAAAAACATCTTTTATTTATTAATTAGGGGTAATCCGTGTCTTAAGACACGGTGCAATATAAATAATTTTGAGAGGAATGTTGATGACCGTTAGATGAGTCTATTTGAAATTACAGATAAACTTATTAAAGTCTGTCATGTTTTATATTATAAATTTAGATATAAAATATATTTCATTGCGAATAATCAAATATCGAGAAATTTTTCATACGTAGAATTGATATCAATTTTTTTTTTGTGACAGAAAGGATTCTCGTATTTTTCATACGTATAATCAAAATTATTGATATCGGGTTTTTATTTTTGTTTACAAAAAGAAACCTCCTAACAATGTACTAAATACAACCACAAAAGTGGTATTTAAGTTGCAATATATTGCTATAGAAGGATGTTGACAAAAAATCACAACACTTTCTTATCATGAAAACCTACCCCCTAGTTGTCTACTTTAGTGACACCAAATTAAGTTGCAACACATTGAAAGACTAATAATCATCAAAGATTGAGGCATCTCAACCCATGTTTATTCCTTTCTAAAACTTTGACCATCTTAATTTGTATTATTTTGATCTTTACATAAACGAATGGTTAAATTTTTGATAGAATAATTATGTGTTGGACACACGATATCGTTTCGTCAATTATCTGATTAAGAACTAAAGTGATACGGATTGAATATTTTAAAAAATAAATTTACAAAATTGAGAGAATGAGAATTAAACTGACCAAAAATACATATTTTAAAGACAAAAAATACTATTTATCTTTATTTTTTATTTTTTTTGGTTATCTCCATCGAAATCTACCATGAGTGGATTTGAAGAGATAACTTGTGTGATTTAAGTAGATTGACCTAAGTTGAAGTTTACAAAGCAAAGTATCACAAAATTTAGGATTAGTTACATCGATTATATCATAGAACTAGTTTATTGTCTGTGCCTGAAGGTACAGAGTAATAAAAAATAATAAACAATAAAAATATTTGTATAATATCCAAAATCAAATCATAAAAATAGAAAAGAGATAAAGAATTTTAAACATCGATTTATAATGAGGATGAAAGGTGGTGAGCGACAGTGGTGGTGGTAGGAGACAGTGATGGTTGTAGTGGGTGGCAATGATCGTGGTGGTTTTAAGGGCGACAGCAGTGGCGGTGGTGGTGGAGGCGGCGGCGATGGCGGTGGTGGTGGAGGCGACGGCGATGGCGGTGGTGGTGGAGGCGGCGACGATGGTGATGGCGATGACGATGACGATGACGATGACGATGACAATGGTGGTGGAGGCGATGACAGTGGTGGTGGAAGTGA